TGAAGAATAAACATTTGCTATAATATATGTTACTAAATAAAGGGTAACAAAATTGTGAGAAATGAGGGAAAAGTATATTGACAAAGAACCCCAAAGCTGCATCTCAGAGCTATATATGTACTACTTGTGGTTAATTTATTCTCACTTGTTTATCAAAAAAAATTCTTAATATCATTGCTTAAGAAATTTTCTATCATTAGTCTGTCCTGCTTCATTTTTATTATGTGGGAACATTCTTAAAAACAATAAAACATTGTGCGAATCTACACACTCACATGATACCAAATTGATATATTGCTCAATGTTGTGTTCAACTTCATTTAATCAGAAAATAAAGCTAACACTAGGGACCTTAAAAATATCAGAGGGCTCTGGGGTTCTTCGCCCATATACTGTGAAAGGCACTATCACGTTAAATTTGCAAAGGAAAAAGACACAATTGTTTTTTAAAGCAATACTACCCAGCAATTAGTTATGAATGCTTTGGATTTCTGTGAAGGAATCTTGAATTCTTTAGGGATCATGAGATGTTCAGGAAGACCAGAAGCTGTCAAGTCCTCTTAGCTGGAGTCACAAGCAGTAGTGGGACACCTGAGATGGGGGAAGAAAGAGAACTCATTATTCTCTGTAAGAACATAAGATACTCTGAACCACTCAGTCGCCTCTGCAGCCCCCTTAAGAGAAATACAGCTGTGGTAAAATGAAAATGAATTGGTTAAGAGCTTTCAAAGCATCTATTGAAAATATATAGATACATTATGATACTAGATGAGCACCAAAGAGCTAGTAAAATCTCTATTAATTTGCTTCCAATAACCATATGCAGAGTCAACGTATGATGTCAAAATTTCAACTATAAAATCTAGCATGACAGATCCTGTGTCATACCTTGTTAACCAAGGTGTCCTTGTCCAACCACATTGTGCCAAAACAGGAAATAAGTAGAGTACAAATAGACAGTTCCCACTCTTGTCTATCATCAGTTTTTTTCTTCTAGCAGGACCTCATTCTGCTCGGATACCAGCAGTAAGTAACACTTCTTTATTTTAGTTGAATCTCTTTATGCCAATGCCCTTATAACTCATCACCAGCAAAGTTTCATAGTTAATAATTTGCATATGGATTGTTGTTGGACCATACTGATAATTTTATTAAGAACAATTGTTTTTATTTAATCTTGTAAAGCTAAGTATACATGATTTAAGTACCTTATTTGTTATCCTGGAATAGATTTTTTTTTTGTTCTTGTTTTTTTCTAGAAAGAGTTTCTCAGTAGCTTTGGTGCCCATCCCGGAACTAGCTCTTGTAGACCTCAAACTACCAAAGATTTGCCTTCCTCTGCCTCCCAGTGCTGGGATTAAAGGCGTGTGCCACCACCGCCCAGCTCCTGAAATAGATTTTTAACAAAGATGTGGGAATGAAATTTTTTATTCTACAATCATAAATAGTGCCTATGGCATTTCAAGGTAGTTGTGTTAGAGGTATCTTTACTCGAACTATGATTTATGAGTGCAGTGAATTTTCTGTGTACTGATGCAAATATTAGATCTTAGATGAGAAGGTAGCCTTCCTCATAAATTTACATTGGCAAAATCAACCTTATAGCACTGAACTTGAAATAAATGTGTGATTGGTGATCATCAGAAGAATATATACCTGGTTCATAAATACATTCAAGACAAGCAAAAAAATAAAACATTTCATTTTTATGATCATAGGTAAATAGACTCAAGTAGCTTGTAGATTTTTTACATGTACAAAATATGTGTATATCTTATATGACAAAGCAGTTTCCCTCATAGATATTTGTGTTTGGTGCAGGCAAGAAATGTTTCTGGAGAACATTAAGATATTATGATACTACTTAATGTCAATAAAAGTGGAATTATATGACACTGGAGAAGACTGTATTCCCCAAATGCATTTGCATTTATGTTGCTTTTCCCCACATGCTTAAACGATGTACTTAGCCAGTTGACATCTAAACTTCCAGTGCCTTCCAATCTGGCAAAACTGCTGATGTTGTATCAAAAGCAGTCAAGGAAATGACAAGTTTCAATCCTGAGATCTATTGATTATAGAGTGTACTGTGGCAATCCCTCGAGGTGAGATGGTTTATTTTATTTATGTATTTATGTATTTATTTTTATTATTTAATTAAAAATTTCCAACTCCTCCCCTCCTCCCATTTGCTTCCATTCCCCCCATCCCCCTTCCCCTCCCTCTCCAGTCCAAAGAGCAGTCAGGGTTCCTTGCCCTGTGGGAAGTCCAAGGTCCTCTTCCCACAGGCCAGGACTAGGAAGGTGAGCATCCAAACAGACTAGGCTCCCACAAAGTCATTACATGCAGTAGGATCAAAACCCAGTGTCATTGTCCTTGGCTTCTCAGTCAGCACTCATTGTCAGCAACATTCATGGAGTCCGGTTGGATCATATGCTCCATCAGTCCCAGTTTAGCTGGCCTTGGTGAGCTCCCATTAGATCAGCCCCACAGTCTCAGTGGGTGGGCGCACCCCTCGCAGTCCTAAGTTCCTTGCTCATGTTTTCCCTCCTTCTGCTCCTCATTTGGACCTTAGGAGTTCAGTCCAGTGTTCCAGTGTGGGTCTCTGTCTCTAGCTTTATCCATCGCCAGATAAAATTTCTATGGTGATATGCAAGATATTCATCAGTATGGCTATAGGATAGGACCATTTCAGGCTCCCTCTTGTCAGCTGCCCAAGAATCTAGCTGGGGACATCTCCATGGACACCTGGGAACACCTCTAGAGTCAAGTCTCTCACCGACCCTAAAATGGCTCCCTTAATTAAGATATATAATTACCTACTCTTATATCCACCTTGCCACCATCCCAACAGTCCCATTCCCCCAAGCTCTCCCCATCCACCCCTTCTCACTTTTTTCTCCCCATTTCCTCTTACCCCTACCCCATCTCCACCCCCCAAGTTTCCCATTTTTGCCTGGCAATCTTATCTCCTTCCAATATCAGGAGGATAACTATATGTTTTTCATTGGGTTCACCTTCTTATTTAGCTTCTCTAGGATCTCATTTTATAGGCCCAATGTCCTTTATTTATGGCTAGAATCCACTTATGAGTGAGTACATACCATATTCATCTTTTTTGGGTCTGGGTTACCTCACTCAGTATAGTGTTTTCTATTTCTATCCATTTGCATGCAAAATTCAAGATATCATTATTTTTAACTGCTGAGTAGTACTCTAATGTGTATATATTCCACACTTTCTTTACCCATTCTTCCATTGATGGGCATCTAGGTTGTTTCCAGGTTCTAGCTATTACAAATAATGCTGGTATGAACATAGTTGAACAAATGCTTTTGTAGTATGATCGATCATCTCTTGGGTATATTCCCAAGAGTGGTATTGCTGGGACCTGGGGTAGGTTGATCCCAAATTTCCTGAGAAACCACCACACTGACTTCCTAAGTGGTTGCACAAGTTTGCATTCCCACCAGCAATGGAAGAGTGTTCCTCTTACTCCACATGCTCTCCAGCAAAGACTATCATTGATGCTTTTGATTCTAGTCATTCTGACAGGTGTAAGATGGTATCTCAAAGTTGTTTTGATTTGCGTTTCCCTGATCACTAAGGAGGTTGAGCATGACCTTAAGTATCTTTTGGCCATTTGAACTTCTTCTGTTGAGAATTCTCTGTTCAGTTCAGTGCCCCACTTTTTTAATTGGGTTATTTAGCATTTTAAAGTCTAGTTTCTTGAGTTCTTTATATATTTTGGAGATCAGACCTTTGTTGGTTGCAGGGTTGGTGAAGATCTTTTCCCAGTCAGTTGGTTGCCTTTTTGTCTTAATGACAGTGTCCTTTGCATTACAGAAGCTTCTCAGTTTTAGGAGGTCCCATTTATTCAATGTTGCCCTTATTGTCTGTGCTACTAGGGTTATACGTAGGAAGTGGTCTCCTGTGCCCACATGTTGTAGAGTACTTCTTAATTTCTTATCAGGTTCAATGTGTTCAGATTAATATTGAGGTCTTTAATCCATTTGGACTTGAGTTTTGTGCATGGTGATAGATATGGATTTATTTTCATTCTTCTACAGGTTGATATCCAGATATGCCAGCATCATTTGTTGAAGATGCTTTCTTTCTTCCATTGTATACTTTTAGTTCCTTTGTTGAAAATCGGTGTTCATAGGTTTGTGTGTGTGTGTGCTATTTAATACCTTAAATAAGATAATATATTCTAAATTATTTAAATTGTTTTTCCTATTTTTAACATGGCATTAATTTATCATTCATTTACCATAATATATAAAATATGATAATGAGAGTTTAGCTTTCCAGGTTCAGTCTTGGCATTATTGATCAGACTTTGATAACAAATGTAAAATGTATTAAGACACTAAGGCCATTGACTTAGCCAAAACAATAGAGTTGTGTTTGGTAATGTAAGACATGTCTCAGCACTTGAGTCTCTCAGGCAAACTTGTTAGTTTGAAGCTACACTAGTCCAGATAGTGACATCTTTTCTCAAAAAGACAACAACAACAAAAAAAAGTCTGAATGAATGAATAACAAACAAACACCATATAATGGAGGAGGCATATCTTAAAATATCCAACAAGGGTTAATCATGTCGTAGTAGTGCCCTGTCATGGTGATAGATGGGAGCTTTTGCTACTCTTGAAAAAATTCCTAAATTCCTAGAATCCCATGAGAGGACCTACGTGAATTAAGTGTGACAGAGGGAGGAGAAGCTAATTACTCAGAGCGATCATAGGTGCCTGCTTGTGGCGGGGGTATCACTTAGGCTCTTTGATTTGTTCCTTATTGCATCGGGGGGGGGCAGCAGGCCTCTTGAGCTGATTTTATTATCATTTGGATGATATAAATAGTATGTCCTCCTTGCTATAGTGGTAGAAAATCTGGGGTATGGGGCCCATTACTTCGTCCATATATTCTGTATCACTCAGAACCCCATGTACTAAACATAGTAATGTCAGTCTTTTTCTCTTCTTTGTTTTCTAGACATGACATTATTCTCATTGTTGTTGTTCCTGGCTGCTATGCTGCCCCTATCCCTTCTTCAAGATAACTATGAGGTATGGGTAAGGTTTAATATCCTCTCAGAACAGTTTAGGCAACTATGAAGGCCAGGAAGCTATCAGACCACTCTTCAAAATTATAAAAGGCCAGAGTGTGGAGTAAGTCTCAGAGTACTCATTGACAGTTTAGAGCGGTTGACACTATTTTTAAAACTATGTCGAATCACCTTGTAGCCCTAAGCACAAGTTAATATTAAATAGAGGGTAAGTTCACGGTACACATGGATGAAACAGGCATACATTTATCACACAAAGGAGATATCAAATATAGGGTTGGATGCAAATACAATACATTTTGATTCAATGTCACTTAAATTGTATTTTTGTTATAGCTTTTTAAGTAGAAATATTGATATTAATTTAAAATACTTTTTTCTTTTTAATGTGTTCAAAAATTAAAATTACTCATGGTATTTGGATTATATTTGTATTGGAATTTTCATGTCTGTGGATTGATTTCTTAAATTTTCTGTCACAAGAGCTCTTATTATTTTCTTTATTCCATTTCATTGTGGTCCTCATAGACAACTGATATTATATTCAAATTAGCATGGCTTCACTTTATTCATTTCTGTATGGAACTTTCATAGATACTGTTTGAGAAAATTATAACTATATTTACAATTTTAAAAGTTCGCTAGAATTGAGATGGTGATGATAGTTACTAACACTCTTCTAGAATGAACAAGTCCCTGGGTTTGATCATTGCAATGTCCATGTGTGCGCGCGCAAACACACACACACACATACACACACACACACTTAACACACCGGACATGTAAAGTACGTCTACTATGCAAACCATAAGTATGTACATGAGGCAAATAGTAATTATTTATAATCTGTTCTTATTTTTAGGTAATCCCAGATGAGGTTCAGTCATCTTCTTTTATGATCGAGTGTGTAGTGCCAGCAAAGTTACTCTCATTTTGGTTAGAAAGCTATTAAAATAGAAGGATTGGGCATTGCTGTAGCCTTCATACACTTCTTAGGCCTCTGCACTGGAGACAATTAGAATTCCTCAGTAGTAGGGAGTGCCCGTAACTGGTTAAACCTGTTTTTGAATATAAGTTATATGTCTTTTGTTACAATAATCAAATTAGTAATCTTGAAACCACTTGTTATCTAGGCGTTCTTTCAAGTTGTTGGCATTCCCAGTTTCTTAAAAATATTAGCATTTTATGGCACTTTTGAATCATCTATTGTCCTTCCCTTCCCTCTCCCTCTCTCTTTGGTCTACTGGCACTTCTTTATAAATTGTCAAGATCCAAATAGCAAAGATATTCAGAGTTCTCTTTTATGAATGAAGGCTTCTTTGAGAGCTGACATGAAGAACTGATTCCTCTCCAGGTTCCTCTTGGTTTTGCTCTTTGGTGTTGTAATTATTAGGTCCTATCACCTATCCAATATAAACCCTCTACCAATTTATTCTCACATTTCAGTGTTTCTAGTATGTTTTTATTTTTAATCTGTACCACTGCCTGTTAAAAAAAATATAAACACACTTATTGTCTGGTGGAATTTTTATCTTCAATAGAAGTTCGGATGACAAGCAAAAAATAATAATGTTTTTTCCAGAAGCTATATATTTTGTCTTTAGAAACGAAACAATTTTAAGTATGTTTTCGGGTTAAAAGGGAATATTTGGGGGGAGGGGATTTACTACTGTTGCAGAGGACCACCTGAAGTTACTTATACACACCTTAACTTCAATTCCAGGGAATCTAGTATTCTCTTCAGACCTTCACTTTCATTGCAGTCATCTGCATAAACTCGAACAAAAATATGTATGCTTAATTCAAATACATGTATTAGAAAATGATGCCATTCCCTTAATCAATAAACATCTGGGGACATTCTTACTTTTCATTAACATAAAACATGAGAATTTTCAAGCAACAACTTTAACATGAACATCCTTTCTGCCTTCCAGAGCAGTGGCTGTGAGAGATCTCTTGGCACAAGACTCTCAACAGTGTCTTTAGAAAATAAAATATTGGGGAGAGATGGATATGTAGCAGACACTGGCAATACAGTGTGGCTAGATCCGTAGTGCAATGTCTGCAGAGTTTTGTGGGAGTAAGTAATGTAGGAAGAGAAACAACTTCTCCCAGCAGGAAGGTAAAATATATGTGAGGGTCTGTCCATCAATAATTACGCTGTAACATCTTGCTCTTCTCTATATAACAGTACATTTTGGAGTATGTTTCTACCAGAAAATGGCTCTTACCTCTCTCTTCTCTGTTAACTCACATAATATCACTACATCCTCCTGTCCCTCACAGATACAAAAATGTAAATTTAAATATCAGCATATGAATTAACTTAACTGGCTTATTTCTGTTCACTGAAATGTGAAGTCAGAAATACTCAACTGTTTTCAGGAACTCATTGTTTCCAAATTGACATGGATATTAGATAAACCTGTCTTGAGAGTGAGCACAAAAACCTGTCACATATAAAATTCTCATATTGTAATAAAATGTTGAATGCACACATATACTAGGTCTGGGCCTACACATTATCTCATAAACTTCCAAACTCCTAGTCAGATGGCTATTGCTTACTAAGATCTATTATGTGTCTTCTTCCTTAACACTTCCGTGCTACAATATAATTGAGTCTGAATGAGTTAAGTTTCTCTACTGTGTTTGGCTATCATTACAGTTCTCTCTTAAGTCAAAATTGACATTTATAGCTATCCTCAGAAAAGTTTTTGCTTCGATATGTCATGAATTCATTTATAGCGTCAAAATTTCTGTTTATAGTATTTCTTATGAAAATATCATAGATTTTCTTAACATTAATTATCAAGGTTTAACCCCTAACATTTTTCTGAGTCCTTTAATAAAGACCTTCATTTACCTCAACCAACTTATTCACCTTTTGGTGAAACAGACAATAACATGACTTTATTTATATTTCTCTTTAGAATCAAGTTCTTGAGGATTTGTCAACCACCAGAGAGTCAACCCAAGAAGAGATTGTAAACAAACACAATGAACTGAGAGGTTCGGTTAATCCACCTGGTAGTGACTTACTGGAGATGGTGAGGGCTCACAACAGGGCACTACATTTGGGGAGTTATGTTTGGAGCCTTCAGATAGCACTTAGCTTCTCTGTGCAATTCAAGAGGGTCTGCCTCTATTCTAGCATCTCTTTTTAACAAAACAAAAGTATTTATTGCTTTACTTATGAGTATGTTTACCTGTGTGTGGGCATGCACGTGGAGATTGGACTTAGTTTGTATCTTTAGCTGTGCTATGATCAGAGTAGAATTTACTAAGTTTCTTTCATCACACTAACTCATTGATATTATGGAGCTACAACAATTATAGTGACAGAGTTAAAAATCAAACCTTTTGACTTTGATCTGTAGTGAAAATCCACTATGTTATTTTGGTAGATGTTCTTCTCTCTCTTAATATTGAGACAGAACATCTCTCCTTTAAGGTTCAATGATGTTTGATCTAAATAGTCTACTTTTCTAGATTAAGAACCAAAGTCCACGTGTCTCTTCAATTCATTCAATGAGGGAAAAGAATGAAACTAGGATGTATGAGGCACCACATAGTTAGTGCTACTCGTAGAACAGTAAGCACTCAAAGTCTTTAAGGGATCCTATTGTGATTTCAGCAAGTCAGCAGACCATTAAATATTTTAGTATTTTTGATGACCTTAGGAAGATAGACTATTTGTATTTATTTGGTACAGAAAGGGTCACATAAAAGTGGAAGTAACTTTGGACATAGATTATGAAACTACTAAGATCAAGAGAGGGTAGAAATGGACTATAGAAGATACAGAAAGAACTAAAGAGAACACGTGTGACATCATGGAAGGTTAGGGGTGGGAGGGCGTGAATGAGAGGATAAGCAGGATCAGGAAGATGGGGGAGGAAAATATGCAAAAATAAACTTATTGATAAATGTTGTAATGAGAGTTGGTAATATATATGCTACCATAAAAATTCAGATATATCCTACATTATATATTGATTATGATGACAGTCAGAAGGTGCCTACCTTTTTGCAATGATAAAAGCACTCATATCAGCCGGTCTGCAAAGATCATGTGACTTTGAGGTCTGAGTTTTCACATGGCTTTTTTCTTTCCTTTTCCTCTTTAGGAGTGGAACAGTGAGGCCCAAGCAAATGCACAGGCCTGGGCAAACCAGTGCCCTTATGACTATAGTTCTCAAGAATCTAGGACAATCAAAAGTATGTATACTCAAAATCACTTATGAATAAAAAGAAAATAAACACAGGAAAGTCCATTTTATGATATCATGCTAAAAATACCTTTGTAAATAAATGAGTATTCTGACAGTGCCTTTCAAAAAAGTTAAGTATCTCCACCTTTTAAAAAAGTTAAGAGTCTCTGAAAGGCTCCATTCTGTGCTTGTTGGATGCTTTATATTTTGCACAAACTGTCTTTCATGATGCCACCTTTGCTCCTTGTGACCCGATCACAAGTGAATCAAGGTCAGGATCATTGCTTTCTCTGTTTTGAAGACTCCAACCGAAGTCCGGATGAAAATAATTACTAATTAAGATCTTATAAAAAAATTTAAAAGTGGAATCTTTTATTTCACTCTTTTTTAAATTATGTGCAAGTGTGTCTCTGTGTATTTATACACATGTGCATATATGTAAAAGTGCTTCTAGAGGCCAGAAGCAGGTGTCAGATCCTCTGATGCTCACAGGTCACAGGTGGTTATAGTGTTGCTGTCACAGGCGGTTGTAAGTTATCCAGTGTGGATGATAGGGGTTGGGTTCAAGTCTTCTGAAATAGTAAGGTATGCTCTTACATGCTAAGTCATTTTTCCTGGCCTCTGAAATCATAATTTCCATATTTTAACCCCATATCTTATCTGTACACTGAGTACCTGAAATATATATTATGTTAAATTAAAAATAAACTATGAAACATAATCTTCACATAGGGAATGTAAAATGATGACAAAATAAATAAATGGGTAATGAGATAAAATTGAAACATTAAAAATGATCACCTTTTTGTTCAAATTGAACCTAGTGAATTAATCAACTCTTTTCAAGGTTTTACCTCTTAGATATATTTTTTTTTAAGTTTTTAAAAACAGATGAATTTTGTTATTGAATTAGCATTTTACAGAATAATTAGGTTGAAAATCTACCCATATGGTTTTAAGTTACATCAATCTTTCTCTTTTTTTTAATATAATTTTTTATTGAAAAAAAATTCTGCCTCCTCCCCGCCTCCCATTTCCCTCCCCGTCTCCCTTTTCCCTCCCCCTCCTCCCTCTCCTC